TGTGTGTGTGTGTGTGTGTGTGTGTGTGTGTGTGTGTGTGTGTGTGTGGAGAGAAAGGAGTGTGTGAGTTTATCTGATTTTGATGTGAGAGAGAGTATAAATGGAGGGGGGCACAGTGGCATTTGCACGTGCAGGTTTGTTCCATGCCTCTGTAGGTGTGTGAAGTACACACACATGACTCCTGGGACTCCCATGTTCATTATTCTTCCTAAAAGAACCATTAAAATTTCATCAGTGCAATGCAATCTGTAGCCAGGCAGGAGGTAGGAGTGTGCAGGAGGAGAGGGAGACACTCAGCAGTGTGATGGGGAGGGCGATGCATCCTCCGCTCATTCACCGCTGCCTGCCTTCATGTCTCTCTCTCTCTCCTCCYTCCTCCGCCTTTTTTTCCTTCACCTTCTTCTTCTTCTTCTTCCTCTTCTTCTCCGGTGGTTCTGATTCCCTCGCCGCGAGCCCGTCAAAGCGCAGATTATGGTTCCCCTCACGATGTGAGCTAGCAGCATCCTTCCCCTCCCTCTTTTCCTTTCTTTCCTGCCACTCGTCCTGCCTCAGTTCCACTCCTGCCGCTCCTCTCTCAGACATCACTGGACCAGGTTTTTTTTTTTCTTTCCTCGAGCTCTAGGATGAAKCGGGAGTAACGTCCAGGAGGAAAGAGTTAACAAGGTGGCTTTTTTCTTCTTTTTCTTGTAAGGGTGAACAGGTTGGGATGTAAAAACACACAGAGCTGCATCCCAACTGGAATATTTTTTTGAGTAAATATTCCTCTTTTATGGAACTTAAAGGTGAGATTTTTTTTTGTTAATCTCAACTGCCTTGTTGTCAAACCTAAGAAGTGTGTTTTGTTTCAACTTAAAACAAAACTTTTCTGCTGAACCTCCTTTTTAAAAAGATCAAAGCTTGTTGCTGCTCTTTTTCCAGCTTTAAGCAGAGGGAAATTAACAGAAGAGCTTTAGAGCAGCGGGAACTGAGCACGCTCTCATCCACCGTCCTCTGATATGTCGCTTTGTTTTGCCAACATGCACACTCGCAGGTAGATCTGATGATGCTAATTGTGTCCTAATTGGGTTTTCCTGTCAGCCGAGGTGGTATTTGGTTTCTTGGAGACTTTAATGGTGTGTGTGTGTGTTAAAGCAGAGTGCAGTGTGTGAGAGTTAAGCTGTGTTTGGACTAGACTGCAAGAGCTTTTACGTATGTGTGCGAAAATGTATGTGTTAGTTCCAGGTCCATCTGTGGAGGTCTGGTATGATGGATGGTGACTGACGGAGGGTGTGAGGTGTGCGTGGAGGTGGAGGAGGATGAAGATGGGGAGGGTCTGTGTGTGTGTGAGAGAGAGAAGCTAGGTGGAGGAGCAGTACATCACCAGCTGCCTAATGGAATGCCGGGTACTTGAAGGGTCCTCTCCTGCTCCTCCTCCATCGCCACACCTCTCCCCTTCCTCCACTCTGGGTGGAGTGTTTATCTGAAGCACAAAAGCACCAAACGGCACCAGTACTTTTGTAGAAGCAGTTTTAGCAAGATTCCAGTTGAGCAAAATCTCAAATTGTCCAGTAGGCATTTTTTTCTCATTTGCCTTGCTTTCTTGGAAAAACTTCAGAGCAGCTTCTAATTTTTGTGTTAAAACTATTTGCCCAAATCAGGATCATGAGGATGATAACCCACCAGGGTCCTGGGAGCAGATCTATAACCACAATTCCAATGAAGTTGGTGTAAAACATAAATAAAAACAGAACAGGATGACTGAATCATTTTCAACCTATATTCAATCAAATACACTACAAAGACAAAATATTTAATTTTTTTTGTGCAAATCTTCACTCATTTTGAATTTGATGCTGCTGCAACAGCTTTTTCCGAAAAAGTTGGAACAGGGGCAACAAAAAACTGGGAAAGTTGAGGAATGCTAAAGAAAGCACCTGTTCGGACAATTTCACAGGTGAGTAGGTTTATTGGAAACAGGTGAGTGTCATGAATGGGTATAAAGGGAGCATCCTCGAAAGGCTCAGTTGCTCACAAGCAGCCACTTTGTAAAAACTACATGAGCAGATAGTCTAGTAGTTTAAGAACAACATTTCTCAATGTAATTGCAAGTATTTTAGGGATTTTGTCATCTACAGTCCATACTATCAAAAGATTCAGAGATTCCGGACAAATTTCTGCAAGTAAGCAACAAGGCTGAAAACCAACATTGAATACCTGTGATCTTCAATCCTTCAGGCAGCATTGCATTAAAACCCCACTCTTATTAGCACATGGRCTCAGGCACACTTCAGAAAACTATTGTCAGTGAACACAGTTCATGTCTAGATCTACAAGTTTAAACTCTACCATGCAAAGCTAAAGCCAGATATCAACAACACCCAGAAACATTGCTGGCTTCTCTGGACCCGAGCTCATCTGAGATGGACTGACTCAAATTAGAAATGTGTCCTGTAGCCTGACGAGTCCACATTTCAAATTGTTTGTAGAAATCATGGACGTGATGTTCTTCAGGCCAAAGAGGAAAACGGACTGTCTGGACTGTTTTCAGAGCAAAGTTCAAAAGCKAGCCTCTCTGATGATATAGGGKTGTATTAGTGCCCATGGCATGGGTAACTGTCACATCTGTGAAGGCACCATTAATGCTGAAAGCTACATAAAGGTTTTGGAGCAACATAAGCTGCCATTCAAGCCACGTTTGTTTTCAGGGACGTCCTGCTGATTTCAGCAAGACAGTGTCAAGACACATTCTGCATGTGTTCCAAGAGAGTGGCTTTGTAGCAAAAGAGTGCAGGTACTAGGCTGGTCTGCCTGCAGACCACACCTGTCTCCTGCTGAAAATGTGTGGAGCATTATGAAGAGAAAAATACAACAGAGACTCTGAACTAAGCAACTGAAGTTGTTCATCAATCAAGAATGGAAAAGAATTCCACCTACAAAGCTTCAACAATTAGTGTCCCCAGTTCCCAAGTGCTTGTTGAGTGTTGTTAAAAGGAAAGATGATAGTAATTATCCTAGCTTTTTTGGAACTTGTTGCAGGCATCAAATTCAAAATGAGTAATTATTTGAAAAAACAAAAACAATAATGAACATTAAATGTATTGCTTTTGAGACTGTCTCTCCATACTGTTCATGGCTATAGAACATAGCAATCAGCTGAGGCTTTTGAGGGCACTGGAAACAGCATAAACACTAGTTAGGTGGGTACTAAGAGCATAGAAATATTACGATTGGTAAAGGAGGTTTTTAGAAATTGTTCCAATCCATCCATTTTCTCATTATTAAAATACATTGTAGACTAGATCAAATGACTCTGCCTTCTCTCACTAGAGTTGAAGACAGCAGGACCTATGGAAGCTGCCTTGTTTGTTTGCTTGTAGAGGGCAGGACTTTAAACCTTTAAATGAACCGACTTGGGGGGAACCTGTTCCTTCTTCAGCTTCAACCGAAATACTATATATTGTCTAGATTTAGTACGTCTATGGTCCTAATAGGATTTATTTCTTTCAAGTAAATCTTTAACAACGAACCCAATTTGAAAACAAAAAAATGAACTCGTACTTCCAAAACTTTGATGACTTTTGAACTGCATGACATACATTTTTACAAGTACTTGTATGTTTCTATGTAATTTCATGTCCATATGTTTAAGTTGATGGTGTCAATATGACAGAGGCAATGCAATTTAAATATGTAAATAAGTTCTAAACACACGAGGTATTCCATTATAAAATTGCTCTTTTATCACTTATAATACTAAGCTGCTATCTAGCCAAAAGCAACAATTAAAATATAGGTGCCTAAAAATACAACAAAAGGCTATATTAGCAACAGGAAATAGTAAAAATTATATATTTTAAAAAGTGATGTTGGTTGATATCTGTCAGGTTTGTTGAGAAGGTTTTAAAGTTTGGGGCTTTAATAACAGAACGCTGCCTTCTGTCTCCTCACTAGAGTCTCAGGAATCACTAATTAAAGATTAATCAGTTTTTCAGTGCATTTTTGACACCAKTATATTAAAATGATAATATACCTTGTACAGTTTGCTGATGTAGCAAATGTTTGTAACCTCATTTTATTTGTGACTCTGAAGGAAGTTTTGTAACTGATTAATTGAATATTAGATGCAATATTGTATTTTATACTTTCTGATCATTTCAACCTTTAAGTTAAAGCAGACAAAGAGTCAGTGTGTCTTATCATGTGTTCTTTCTCTAAACAAAAATAAGTTACATTCTGACRTCTGGCACAAAAGGTAACACATCCAGAGGTGTAACCAGGAACAGATGAACACTATAAGCTGAATTCATTTTTATAGAAGAAATAAGTTGTCAGTTTTTGGCAGCGTCTCTGCTTTAGAGCAGGGCTCCTGTGTTTTGTTTCGATTTAGGCTCAAGGTCTTACACTGAGGCCTGTGTGCTGTACTGTGAACCTGATTGGAGTCAGACAATTAAAATAAAGTTTTAAAGAAGAAATCCAGTTGTATTCCTGTTTATTCGGACATACCATTTTGAACAACGCACATTTTTCCTACAAGTCATCACATCAAACCAAAGATTAAGTCACAAGTATTGCAGTAAGAAAATAGACATCTATAGCGAGGCGGCAGAACATTGTTGATAATAGGATTTTGTCAAAGTATAATGAATTAATATGTCATTTATGGGTTTCTTTAGTGAAATGTCCAAATATAATCCTACAAAATGTTTTAAAGCACTTTGTATGGGGTAAGAACACTGTCAAAAGTGGATAGGTAAAAGCAGAATTGTGTTCATATTAATAGTTTTGCATAACTAGAATTTGTAAACTAATATTTGAAATGTCCTGATGCATCTCAGTAAAAAATCAAAAGGAAAAAAATTGTATAGGTCCTCTGGACGGGTTCAGAAGGCTGCTGCTCAATTTTTTTCCT